AGAGAGCGATCGTCTTCTCGAAAGCCCCGTAAAAAGCCCACGCGAGCGTGGGAGACAACTATTAGCTCTATTAAAACTCATTTTTATGACAGCAGCAGTATCGCTAAGGCAATACGAGGTCATTGGTCGACATGTGTAGGATAGTGGAGTGCGCGGGAAATTTGAAATAGCTTGAAACATTTTACGAGTTATTTTATTAGTTGATATTATTGATTGATTCAGGTTTAATAAGGCAAGCCCGGCTTTTCGGCTAATGGAAGCTTCGCCACTGATAGAGCTACTATGTTACGCTATTGTTCTGTGGGAGCGTGGTCCTCCCCCGTTTGGACCGACCCATTCGTGCTATAACCATAATATAGCTGCAGCGTTCTTATCTTATCGTTCTTATCTATTCTTATCTTTTAATTAATTATATAAATCATAAAATATACATCTACCCCAAAATGGGCGTCTAGTTTTATAATTTTACACAGCCTTCTAACCAAACTCAACTGAAAGGATTTCTGGGTTGAAAGTATGTAATAATCATTTGTTTATTGTTTGTAAACATAATTTATTGTGAGAGTATACACCACAGAAGCAAAAACTACCATAGAAGTATAATAATATGACAATAGTCTTTGACATGGTTTTAGGTTCTTGTCGTACTTACACAAAATTATGTATGCTATCCAGCTTTCACATTAATATTGCATTGGTTTTTCCCTGTTTTACTAGTATACGAGTATACTAGTTTTTTATTTCTTTCGAAAACGGTACATTACCTTTTAATACGAGTGGTATTGTTATAATCGGTGACCAAACCTCTTAATTGTACCAAATACAACACCTTACTCCTCCGAATTCCTGCCAAACTATTCTAAATCCAACCCCTACTAAAGATCAACAAGAACAGCATGTAGGTAATGACAAAAATATTTGCTTTCTTATAGCAAAATACATTATTATACGAAGATTATTGATAGGTTGATAAGTGAAAGTTAAGACGTAAATAAATACCACTAATTTTATGTATTATAGAATTATTATTATTATGATAAACATATTTTGTTTCTCTCTCTTTCTTTGGTTATGATCTTATCCAAGTCAGTATTTATCGCCCTCATACCATCATTATTGTCATCGCGGAAGCAGCGTTTTAATATTCATTCACAATTTGTAGCATAGCGCGGTTTAAACTTTCTTTGTTAGCTGCTATTGTTAAACTTTCTATTAAAACTATGATTTTTGTTAATTACAATAATTTTAAAAACAAAATTAGTTTTGTAAAAACGCTTAAATTTTTTAAATATTTTGTTGAAGTTATCGATCGTACTCAACTCGAATTTCTCATTCTACTAAATTAAAAATATTTCAAAACGAATTCATTGCGATTTTAAAGAACTTATTACATATTCAACAGTACATTAAAATTTAAAAAAATATTTAGAGATTTTATTTTGATAATTATAAATTTTAACGAGGGGTGTTGTAGGACATTAATTATTCTAATTATTTGGCTACGTACCTGGACTACTTTCAGCGCATGTTTTAAAGTTTAACGCAGCATTTACGCACATCACAGTTATCTGTACTGAGCGTATACAAAAACAATGTTTGAATAATAGGTAAAACGGGACATACAAAGCGAGCAAAATAAACGGAGGAACTTACCATTTGACTTTATTTATGCGCATAATGTTGTTAGCTCTCTGAAAATGTCCCCTCAACTCGTCGGGGAGAACTTATAAATACAAAAGAATTAAGTGCATCGGACAGTCCCTTAAGTTCCTTCGAATATGTGACATCTTTTTTCAATCACGATCCGGTGAAAAATTGTGTATTGTTCTCGTTTTATAAGTGAGTTTTGTGGATAATTAAATCAACTGACCTGTAAATGACTGGCAATTTATTTCATAATTTAGTTCAATTCTAATAGCACCTAGTTCACGTGTGCGTTTGTTTAAGGGAAATTTTGTGTGGGCGTTTACCTGTACGTGATTGTACGAGTCCAAAGCATCAATGTACTCTCCGCCAGCAAAAATATGAAGGAAGAAAGGTGAACTCATTCCTATTTATTTTATTATTTATTAAATGTATGCTACATTTGTCTTTAAATTTATATTTATGGACGCTTGTCCTTATGTATGTTGAGGGTATGCATAGAAAATAGTACGCGAAAAATCAAACTTTTGATTTATAATTGTAAATATTTTTATCACCGCGGTACAGTCTGCAAGAAATTTACATCAAATGTTTTATATTAGCATTTTTGTGGTTTTCATTGAAAGGTTACAATAGCATTTGGATTTACCGGCGTTCAAACACTTGGCACTTGATGAGAGTTGGTAAACGGCGCTTAGTGAAAAATTCACATCAAAAAGGTAACTATGACCGCAGAGCACCAAATTGCAACAGGTCTGAAATTGCAGGGCATGGACGAAACATGAAAGTTACAATAGTGAAATAATGTTTTCCTGGTAGATATTCGCCCGCGACAGTTTCCGATTAATCGAAAGTCATTAAATGCGGAGGAGTTAGTATTTAAGGTTAATAGTGCCCCAAGTGTCCAATATTATTCGTGCCATGATCGGATGTAAGATAAGAGGAGGTATTATAAGCTAGAATTTACTAGACCAGTAAAACCAACAATGGTCTTTTGGAACAAATATTGGCTCCAACCGGAGTTCGTGGTTGTCATGACATTAAAAATATTTAAAAAATCGTATTTTAATATAGAATATAGTAGTAAAGTAAGAGCTAATAAAACATCTATAATTGACTTAGGAAACTTAAGGATGTTCTTGTGTGATGTAAACAATAACACAATTTTGAAGCGAACGTAACCTAATTCAAAACTTAATTGAGCAAACACTTCCTACAAAGTTCAATTGAGACCATTGAGCTATTACGTACTACGTACTAGAGGCGACACTGCATTCAGCTACTCTGTTCCACTCAACTGCGGATGCGGTGCATACACCGCACTTTAATCAGTCACTCGCTAGGCCTTGTAGAGTTGTCACGTGTTGTGTTGATTTGAAAAAAATCTTTTGATAAAAATATGCCGTCGTGTGTACTTAGATATTGCACAAATAATTCAAGAAATATCAGTAAAAACCAAGCAATTACTTTTTCATCGGTTAATAAGATACTTACTCAATAAAAAAAATAAAGATTAATAATAAAACAAATTGTTCAGTCCTAAGACGCCATCTCATGTCATGGAATATATATAGATTATGAAATTAATTTGCTCAAATGCGACATTTTTGTGGGTACTTAAGTATAGGATTATATTAATTAAGTACAAGATTGGCTACATCTTAAAGCGAGCTTCCATTAAAACATACTACAAGCCGCCGAAGAAGATTAGTCAATTTTTACCATCCATCAAATGTATTATTCCTCTACAGGATGCAGGTGTGTACAAGCTAGATTGTGAATGTGGTCTCTCTTACATAGGTCAAACAAAAAGATCTATTAAAACCCGCGTGAAGGAACATATAGCTGACGTGAAACACCGACCCTCAGGGAAGTCTGCAGTCTGCGAACATGTTCAAGATCGTCTCCACCATTACATTCGATTTGATAAACCACAAATCCTCGCAAAAGAACACCGATTCCTACCAAGGATGATACGCGAGGCTATTGAAATTAAAAAACATCCAAATTTCAATAGAGAAGATGGATGGGTGCTGCCAGCAGCTTGGGATCCTATAATTAATAAAATTAAACCCAAACCCAAGCATACCACTGCAAGACTTCAAGATACTGTAAGCTCGTTTTGCGTAAATCGGACCAAAAATTAATATTCAAAAACTGAAGGTAGCCGGACTAACTATGACATTGGGACGTCCAACATCTCAGTCTCCCCGTGACCATGAGTGCTGTAAAGCACCCGAAACGTCGGGATAGTAAAAACAGATTAAAGTAATTAAACGCGATAAAATCCGTAAATAATAGTTTTATTCAATGTAATTGTCATATAATAGTATGTAATATTATATTAAATAAGCAAATATAATATACAAAATAAACGACAAAATTTTAAAATTGTCCTCGATATAATTTACCTATTTAACAATACAATCTGATATTACCTACTGATCATTCTATCTATGTTTATTCTATGATAAAAAAACCAACCGCGCGAACACAGAGTAGCGCACATTTTTTGTTTGAAATAGCTGTCCTAGTATGTAAGTACATATTACTTCAATGATTGAAACATAAAATTTTAATTTGTTTCAGATTTGGAGATATAATAAATGCTATGTATTTTCTTCCCTTCAGTCATCAACTGTACAGTAATATGACAAAGGAATCACAGTAGGGGAGATCCTTGTACCTTGGGACGCTTTTCTTTAAACCTCCATAATTTAAGTTCAAATTTATCTATGCCCTTGAATGTTGAAATTTCTATTAGGTAGCCAATAACATCACAATAATATGATACAAAACACGACCTACTATGTTTTATCAATGAGAAAATGACAACTAATTACTTTAGGATATTTGTCCCAAGGTACAATAATGGCTTGTACCTCTGGACACCAATGTTTGTACCATGGGACACATTTTTGTAAACCTAAACTGCCGCCAGATGAATATTAACTCTATCAGTTGACGTACATATTTCATATACCGGAGATTTTGATATGAATGGGCAGCTTAAATGCTTTGTTAAAGGTATTTAAAGCATTGAAAAACAAAGATAATCTTAATTTTATATTAATAAAACAACAGTCATTACAAAGCTTACTTACAATCACTTTTTTAGATACTCAGGAAAATAAAAATAATAACAAAACTTGTTTACAAACATTACTATTAGTTTTCTTTAGACTTGATACCGCATTTCTGACAGTAATTTTCAAAACAGGTGCAATCTTCGTGAACCCAGAATCGGCAGGTGCAACACGGAATCCAGTCTTCTGTGCTAGAAGTAGTGAAATAATTTTCACCGCAACCCACACAATTATTTTTCTCTTGATCGTCATCACATGAATCGTCATTTTCTAAGATAACATCAGTTTCATCCTCAGAACTACTACTTTCTCTCTCAACTTTTTTCTTAAAAACACGCTTCTTGACAGATTTGTTTTTTTTTTATTTACTTCTTTTTTTCTTTTTTTAGCAGCTAAAAGCTCCAATTCCTCTTTTTCAGGAGTATCGGTTAAGACTCTTGTCTTACCTTTTCTATTTCTAGTAGTATTATTCTTACGTGGTGGGGCCTTTGGAAAAGGACGAATGGCTTCAGGTGACATAAGGATATTTTTGTCTGTGTCTATAGTACCAGTGGATGTAGATGGTGCTGGAGATTCTATTGCTACTTGGTTATTGTCATATTGTTGTTCAATATTTGCATATTGTGATGGTCCAGGTAGAGCAATATTTGGTTGTATTTCAGCCACATCAAATCTGGTGTGCGTAACGGTGTTAGCATCTACATAAGGCCTATCATTCGCCAAAAATATTATCATTAAATGGCCATATTCCTGCAACTTTAAATCCATTTTGAATGTTGGATGGCGTAAAAGCTAATGGAAAAGCAGTGCCAAAGCATTCGGCGACATTATATATAGTGAGAGGAGTTCCAGGATGTTGCAAAAGCCAATCGTTGCAAGCTTTGTTATAATATTTCTTGAGTGGACCAAATACGGTTCTGTCTAAAGGCTGTAACTGCGAAAAAAATGTTTGAACATTACAATACCATTATTCTTGGCCAACTCTATGATTTTAATCGAAATGTGACTCGTGATTGTCCAATATCAGGAGCACTTTATTGTCATTATTAGGTCTAACATGTTTAAGGAAATGGTTCAAAAAATCCTCAAATTTATCACCATTGGACCACCCACTGGGAGTTGCAAGCCCCAAAGTCTCAGGAGGAGCACCATTAATCATGTGGCTCTTAAAGTGCACTCTAGGAAAAATCATGCAAGGAGGAACCGAATTCCCAAGTGCATTCACGCATGCAATAACAGTGACATTATTACCTCTCTCTGCTGATGTAATATTCCCAACTTGTTTTACTCCTTTTGACGCTAAAACTTTCATTGGATTGTGTACTGTAGACATGCCAGATTCATCTACATTATAGATCCTTTCGCTTGTAAAATTGTATTTCAACAGCAGTTCCTTGTATTTATTATAAAACAAATTTACATTCACCTTATTAAAAGAAGTAGCACGTGCTAAACTCGTTGCTTCTGGTTTTCGCAAGCTTAAATTTTGATGCCTTTTAATAAAATATTCATAAAATTTCTTTCCAGCTTTTTTATTTGTGTCCCAAGCACTTGGATAAGTTTTTTTCAAAATTACTGCATATTCGAATGCTAATTTTAAAAAGTCATCTTTGCATATTTCGTAGTGTAACTTGGATGCCTTTAAGCAATATTCAATCAATCGCTCTTCTTCTTCATCACTAAACACTCTCTTGACAGCATTCAGAGGGTGATAGACGACCTCAACATTTTCTATTTCTTTGTTCAACTTTACGTAACGGCCTATTAAAGATTTTGAGACATGAAATTCTTCTGCAGCTTTCCGAATAGATAAACGTTTTTCAATTACCATTTTAATTGCACTTTTTACATTTTTCTCACTTGGTTTCGGCCGTATGACTTTATCTTTACTTCGCGGCATCTAAAAACATAAAAACAAAAAATAAAAATATAATATTAAAATAAATAGTTGAAAAAAGCATTGGCTTGTACCTTGGGACTGTCCCAATTCACTATCTCAAGGTACAAATTTCAATTATAGAATACAAAGTGTGGTTATAATTTTTGAATTACGGAAATCTAGGAAATTATATTAAAATAAGTGATTAAGAATATAGATAACAACTAATTGTATCATAATTAAATTACTCACCTCAAAATATTTCGTCTAAAGCAAAGATTCAAGTGGATTGCAAAAAAAAATCTGAATCGGAACGAAGCAAAATGGCCGATTTTACTGCATGCTTTCTGAATGTTGTAATGAAATAGCTACAAGATGTCACTACTTACCTACTTCTCAATGTAAAATATCTGACGCAATGAGCTTGTCCCGAGGTACAAGGTGTCCCAAGGTACAAGGATCTCCCCTACAGTCATTAAAAAAATCGTATTTTAATATAGAATATAGTAGTAAAGTAAGAGCTAATAAAACATCTATAAATTGACTTAGGAAACTTAAGGATTTTTTTACACAATAACACAATTTTGAAGCGAACGTAACCTACTTCGAAACTTACTTGAGCAAACACTTCCTACAAAGTTCAATTAAGACATAAAATTTAAATTTGTTTCAGATTTGGAGATATAATAAATGTTATGTATTTTGTTCCCTTCAGTCATCACATTTACCGCATTATCTACTCAAGGGACTACTATGACCGTGGACCTGTCCTGGATGAGAATTTTGATATCCGTTGAGATTTATGTATGTTATACTTCTATGAGATTCTTGAATTTTCATATTATTTTAACAACATGGTTAATAAATTGATTGACTACTGATTCTGATATTATAGCTTTAAATTCTCATTCTTTATAAGATATTGGATTCGTTGCACTTTTTTCCGCGACTTTAATTTATTCACAGGCAGTTTCTCTTGGCTGACTGTTTCCACTTTCAATTCCGATGGAAATAGATCTTGGATTATAAATATTGCCGACTTAAACTACTTTTATTGCATTTGCGTTTTCAGTGACGGGTGTTGAATATGAATCATCGTTACGTCACATAAGCGTTTAGATTATGTCAGCGAGGCCAAATTTTACGGTCGAGGTTTATCGCTTCCTATGAACCGTACATGAATTTATATGCTTCGGAGACAGCGCGAACAGATTAGCCTGAGATAAACCGACGGACATGATTAAAGTTGGTCGCGGTGTGCATATATATTTCTGCGAATATATACGGCTTTACAAACGAAGGGTGTCCATGTTTCTCTCTTGTGACTTTATACCTACAAGCATTTGATATCGACAGTATTTTTATGAAAATATTCTTAAGTATTACTTTAGCAAATTGAGTTACGAGTTGTATCACTAACCCTGAGCATAATATTATACCTATTATACGTACTGAACTAAATGTGAATATAAATATATTCTTTTTATTAAACTTTAAATATTTTAAAAAGGAAAACATTTTTACTTTTAATAATGTGTAAGATTGTAGATCGTGAATAGAGGCTACATTTTATATAAGTTAAAAGGTATACATTGCCAATCTGATATTTAGCAAGCAATTAGTTTATCACAGGCACAAGCTGTCGTCGATAAAAAAATCAGGAGGATTACCCTGGAACACCTCATAAATTACTAAAAGAAACAACTTTAATTTCTTCTTTACGTTGACATTCTATAAGAATGTCTTTCACCGTAAAATTATAGAAATAAGCTTACTTAACTATTATCGAGCTGTTTAATTATGTTTTCATTTTTTTCTATAATGTAAGAAATATTTATAAAGACAGCTTTAGAAAAATATATTCTTTTAAATTTAATTACGTGCCAAACAGCACACAACATAGGTACCATGGATTTTGCCCGCGTGTAACTAATACATTATTGACATCAAATTAGTAATAAATCCATTTTTTGATTGATTTTTATGTTAATTACTTTTGACTACTGGCCGCCATTGTATTTATTTTCTATTTTGTAACAACGATTGTGTAATATGATCACACCGTCACAAAGCAAAACATCTGGTTCACTATCATTGGCTCGTTGTCTCCGTGCCTTTTTAATGATATTTTTTGAAGTGATAACTTCTTTAGAATCGTTATTATTTCACACTCGATGAAATGAAAAAGCGACACTAAAAAGAGACAAACTTATACATCTATATGATTTAGCCTGCGAGAGAATGAGATAGAATACAGTATACAGTGTTTCCTTTTTAATTTTTCTCTCATTCCTTCAAAGTTTGTTTTATGAAGGTTTCACTTCTACTGCGTGTGAACTGTTTTATTTTTTATTTTTGTTCGTTGCAATTAAAGTTGCCAGGTCTTAAAACCGAAAAGCCGGACAGACCAGCGAGCTTAGCCGGACATTTTGGTAAAAAGGCCGGACACGCTTAATTTTTTATTCGTAGTAAAACGATTTTTTTTTTGCAAAGTAAAACCATGTTTTTATCATTTACCATAAAATTTTCTTAAATTCTAATGAAGTGACAACAATTCAATAAATTAGTCTTATTTATTATTAATCATTCAATATTCATTACAATATTAATTTCAATAGTCGTTATAGTATTTATGTAAGTACATGAAATGTAACGAAATTGTCAAATTAAAAAAGCCTAACAAAAGTCGGACAGGCCGGACACCGTCGGGCATGCAACCAAAAAGCCTGACTATGTCCGGCTTTATCCGGACGCCTGGCAACGCTAGTTGTAATTATTATTAACTTTCAAAAAATATTATTAACACCCTCTTCCCCCTTTCCTTTTCCTTTCTTTCCTTTTCCTCCAAATTATTGTTTACAACTGTACACAACTGTGGTTAGTGCCATTCTACTCTTTATTAACTCTGGCCAATGCGTTGACAGAGACCAAGGTTTTAAAAGTTTAAGATCTCCTTAACGCCGTTGATCTTAGGTTTGGATAATTAGTGATGTCGTCGAAAAAATATGCGATCCAGATCTGAAAACACACTTTTGTTTTGTTTTAATTATGAATCATGAAACAGTTTTCTGATGATTTTTAAAACAATATTTGTTTAACGGACCTTGATTAACGGACTCTATATACCGATTTCATTTCAGAACATCGTATTCTAAAATGATGGACGCATCAACATTTTAAACATAATTAATTTAAAAACAAATTAATAATTATCTAATGCAATAAGTCTTGAAAAACAATAAATACAAGGTGGTGAATGTGAAGTGGATTTAATCATCATCATTATTACAATTCTTCACAAGTCCACTGTTGAACACGGGCCTCCTCAAAGTAACGCTGACAAGTACGGTTCTAAAACACCTGCATCCATCGATTTCTTGAATCTAATTATCATCAGGTCGTTAGTCCGTTCTACTAGATTCTAGTGAGAGGCAGACCAACATTTCGCTTAATGGTTAGTTTGATAACAATTGAGTTTTATATTTAGTCGTTCGCATAGGTCGGCGAACCATAGTCGCATAGAGAACAAACATTTGTTTCATGTATTCCCGAACGTGTAAATTTTTGCGACTAGCGAATGGTCTAAAACGAAACTGCATTCACGTGGTGGAGCTACGCTGCACCTATATTATTGTTGTAGCATGAATGGGTCGGCTCGATCAAGCCAGGAGCACGCTCTCACAGAATTCTAGCGTATAACAGCAGCTTAATGCTGCTGTGTTTCGGATGGTGAGTGTGGAGAACCGGATACCCTAGTTACAGGAAACGAGGTATTCCATCTTAGTCTTCAGGGGTGTTCACGCATCTGCACTATGATTCTTAATCGACATTAAATTTAGATGTCTATGGGCCTGTTGTATGGGCCAGCATCTATTTACCATCAGTTAGATTGTGTGCTCATTTGTATCCCACATTCGATATAAAAAAAGTTGCTAAAGTCACTAAATGGCCATCAAATATTGGTGTTTGACACGATTTTAATACTTAACTATATAACTAGCATAATAACAAATTGCCAGTTTGAGTCGTACAATAAACTTACGTTGTCAACTATTAAAAATATGAATATGAATACCAACTAGGTTTCTCATGTTATATTCTATCAATTGCATTTTGAAATGCCAATGCCCTCAATAGCACTTTGAAATTGGAAACAAACTGATCGGGCGGCATTGGCGTTTTTCAGCAATTGTTTTTTCATTCGATTTACTCAAAAAATCATTTATAAAACTGAATCGTAGTTCGCAAGGCACAGGATAATAATCTGTTATTTTGTTATATTTATCATCATTAACTTCTTACAGCTATAACTAAATTTATATTTTAATTATTCCCTAAGCACAATAGTTATAATATAGTTTTACTTCTTTAATGGCTTCTACATAGACCTTATGGAGACTTTACCGTATTATTAATATAAATCATCTGTTAATTGTATTATTGATGTCAGTAGTTAACATGTGTGTTTTTTTCTGTAAATAATAATAAAAACATTCATCAAAACCTACTAACACAATTTATATTGAGCATGTTACAGGATCACATTCATGTTTGCTTGTCGACAGGCATGAAAATGACTATGTCCACAACTGCGACGATGAGCGCGCGAGTGCACAGGAAAGTGATTAATAAGCGCGTGCACCCGGGAAAATCTACGCTTTCCGGAAAGATGCTGCACGCTGGCAAGATGGCGCACCCGGGGAAGAACGCAAACAACCCGGGCAAGTTTGCGCACCTTGGCAAATTCGGGAAACTAGCGCACTACGCACACACACACTCATTGCGACCACCGGAGCCGTGTGAAAACAGTAACGATAGCGGGCTCGGTCCGGACCCCGTCAACAGGTGAGAGGGACTAGCATTTGGTCTTTGTCACTGCTTTGTTATTGTCTTAAGACGACACATCGAAAAAGTGTCTCCAGGCTATCACCGTACTGATCCGAGTGAACACATAATTTCTATAAAAACTTGAAAAAAACGCCGTCGTAAGGTCTAAAATTGCGTAGCGCCCACGACGAATTCAAGGGCTTAGAAATTGTCAGAATCTTAAAATATTTTTTTTAAATTATTGATTTAAGTAATTAAAATAATGAGCAAGTAAATTATGAATATTGATGTTATGAATATATTTTAGGGATTCCCAAGCATATAGATTATGTAATTTCAACTACAGTGATTTTTTAGAGGTGTTTTCGCAAATAATTATGATCGAGTCAGAATTATATAATCGTGTTTTTCAACAATCGAATTCAAGATAAAGACATGAATTTACCTATATCAAATTTCCAGTTTCGTAAGTGGTGTCATAGTCCTATACCATTCGATGAAAGGAGGTGCATTTTTTCGCGGTGTCGCCTTAATTTGCGTCCATCGTGCTTTAACCGCTATCAACGTTAACGTGTGAACCGTCACAGTATATTAACCAAGAATTAACACTCACGCGTGTGCACCAAATGTGTGAAATATTCATCGCTTACGCTAGGCGTTGCGTAGATTCACCCATTTGGTTTATAGAAATGTATCATTAGTATTAATTTGTTAGGTATGGCAATGTACATGTCATATATATTAACTAACTAGTGTTAAATCATCTAAAACAGAAAAAAACAGGTGCTAAAATGTCAGACGTTTGTCTCAAGGAAGCGACTACAAGTAGATATCTACATAATACTTAATATTTTTGTTTTTTTGCTTAATTGTAAACTTAATTTTTTACATGTCTGTTTTTTTTTTTGACATGCAATCATCATTACAGCCCTTCAATAGTCCATAGCTGATCATAGCCCTCTCCATATCTTATCAGTGAGTACTTGAGACATGCGTTCATTTCATCCGTCAGTGTGTCACTCTTAATAACTTGTATTGTTTGTCTGAAGTCTTACTTTTCTAATTATTATAAGCCAATGCTTGAATACAATCCCACTTGGTGGTGATGATGAAGATCTAGCTGGTAAATCACACTGTCTTACCGTAACAAAAGCCTATTCACTTTTGTTTTGACGCTTAGATTGTAATCGGCACCACTGGCAACGTGGCAACAGTTGTGCAGGTTGTTCACACATGTTTTCAAGTTTTGAGGAATACACAACGAGAAGATGTGTCGTAATACTTTCCAGCCCAGATAAATTAATCCATTAAGTAGACCTCTAAGTTGGACTTACCTTGTCAGATCATTTGGCCTAGGACATACACTCCGTCCGTAACCATGTAATGGTAGCGTAAGAAAATCCACTACCCTAATCCTGGGTGCCGTAAGCGATAAAATCGAAACAGGAGATGGAAAGCAGCACCTTAAACTTTCATCAATAATTTAAAAAAAACTGCGGTTGCTAAACCTAGAAAGCAATCTATGGGACTAATATAAATAAAATAAATTAAGGCCATACCCCTAGCGAACGACCTTGAGCGTTTGGTCCGCCGACTCTCGCTACGATATATCGCGTAAGAAATCTGCAAGACACCACCTACTGCTACGAAATTAGTATTATTTTTTTAATGTCAATGAACTATTTTATGAAAATAGACACGGCAGATAATGATAAATGTATTTTAATTTTCTTTATTCGGTATATTAGATGCATTATATTAGAAATATGTATTCTCATATATTATCTAATTAATAAAAATGACTATTTTGATTATTTTTAACTATATACTATACTGCTAATATTGAATTAGCTTTTTTATAGTGTAAATTATATATGTCGAAATGTTAATTATGGATTCGAACTTTACATGCTAACGGTGCTTCATTTTTGTTATTTTCATACTTACATATTGAAAATATACTTGAATAGTAGGTATTATTATTTTATTTAGCTACTGAATTTTAGGATATGTTTTACCTTGAGGTCAAATATAATTTTGAGGAGCAATAGTTATTACCTACTAATCTTTTATCTGCTATTCCTTATTTAGGAACAATATTAGTAAATTGAGTTTCAGGGAGATTACCTGTTTATAATGCTACATTTATTATTTTAATATTTACCTACTGGGTAGGTAATTATTAAAATAATAAATGTAGCATTAGTAACTAAATAGATTTTTTACCCAATTACAATAACTAATGAGGTATTGTGATTATTTGTGATTAGTAATACTGGGTGGGTATTAATAAATAGAACAAAATATAAAGTCTATTTTATTATCTTGAATGTAAGAAATTGATTTCAAATTTTTGAAAACTTCCTTAAATTATAAACAAACAGCTGCAGCTATTAAATGAACATATGCGCATATATACGCCCGTATATATATATATAAGTGGTAGTGGTAAGTTGCGAATTTCCCGCGCCTATTTCAATCATACCTGCGACTGCACATTCATTTAATGATAAATAATTTTCACTACAATCATCGTTTACTATTACAAATTTTTGGTTACATAATTGGCATTAAATAAACGTACATTTTGACTCTAAGCCTTGTTTCTCCGATAAGTTCTAGTTCGGTGAAGTTGCAACCTAATGGACCATGATTTGAAATTTTTATGAAAAGAAGTGGCTGACGTCAATTATTATTCTTCTTATTATTTTTTCATTACTGCCTTTTTCAACCTCACAAGATATTTGTAACTGCAAAAAAGAAAACTATGTATAAGTAAGTAAATCAGTAATATAGTATTATGTATGATTCAGACTAAATGAAGGTTCCTAAAATAGACGTAGATAAAGAAATTGCATAAAAAATTACTCAAATAAAAATGCAATAAATTTTATAAGTAGTAACATATTAAAATAATAAGTTTTTTTAGGATATTTATGTAGAACATAAAGTTTATATTATGTTCTAAATACGTTCACGCTTGCGCATACAAAACCGCGGAATTTCACTAGTTTTATTATCAAAATAATAATTGACAACCCTACCCTAAGTTTGCCTTGATTTTACCAACTCAAACTCGTTTTAGAAGATCAAAACATAGAGAGAAAGATAGGAGACTATTTTTTATTTAATATGGTTCATCAAATCCGTAAAAATAGTTTAAAATACTCACACAATAAAATTTTGAAGTGCAGGTAAAATATCTACGACCAACATTTGCACAATTCTGACGTTCACAGACGTTTCACAACTTTTTGCCAGAACCAAAAATGTAACATAAATAAAATAAAGTCTTTAGCTCGAGAGGAGAGGAAACGTGGTAGCTCAGATGGTTAGCGCTCGCTGAAATTTTCACAGTGCGCGAGCAAACCGGGTTCGATCCCCGCCAGCACCAATGAAATTGTAATTGCAATTTTAAGTGTTGATTTACCACGTGCTCAGCGGTGAAGGAAAACATTGTGAGGAAACCTGCATGTCTGAGAAAGAAAAAAAAATATTTCGAAGACATGCGAAGTTCGCCAACACGCATTGGGGCAGCGCGGTGGACAATCCCTTGCCCTAGGACCCTTTCAGAAATGAGCGGAGGCCTGTGCCCAAGAGTGGGACGTATATAGGCTATAACTTTAACTTTAACTCTAGCTCGAATAGCCTACTTATGAAATTCAAATGATCGGTTTAGGCAAAGTAAGGCTAGGTAAGTCAAATTAGGGCATTTTACGGTACTTACTTAGATATCTTTTACCTAATCACAAGCACAAGTGTGTATCTAATCACAATACCTACTAAAGTATTTTGATTAGGTAAGTACACATTTGTGCACCATAATATTTACAAACCAAAAAATTTAATAAACAAACCTTTACATCTTCAACCATTTCAGTTGAACCAAGACAGGTATAGGCTGTAATTCTACAGTTTCTTGACTGAAGTCGTTTACTGCCCGTTTACTGCCGTATCGTCATTGTTCGTATTTAGCCTGCAATAAAGAATAAATTATATTAGATCTTGCATGACAACAAAACTGAATTACTTGTAATAAATCATTTAGATACATATTTTAGCTATACAATTGAAAAGGTTTATATTAATTATAATATGGTAACCACAAAAAATATCACATCAAATTTCATAAATTCTGGTTATAATTTCATAACTCTATGGACTCAAAAGTGCGCCCGACTTACCCATTATCATTTTCAATTATTGGTAAACTTGAATTGACGATAAAAATTATTTTTGTCGTCAAATTCGCATTCAGGTATTTTTCTTCACCTCCTAAAATAAAAATATACTATGTAATAACACGTAGGAATTTAACGGAATAAAAGTAAGTGAACTTTGCATAATAAATCAAATTACTTACAGAATTTCATTCATATTTAGAGCATTTTGACGTCGTTGACGATTTAGGCATTTGCACTAATCAATCCACAAAATTATATTTTCACATTATCACAATCGTAGTGTCTTTTTGTGGTAAAAAAACACGTAAGCGCATCGGTTAGTAGGTACTCAAATAATATTATGTTTGCGGCGAAACACGGAGACGTCTACGACGGCGACGAGCGACACAGCCACCTCGTACGAACGCATACAGCGTAATGCCGCCCGCACTCTGCGCACGCCCCTTTATCATAGAATTCACACAATTTTCGGAATTATTTCATTTAAAAAAGAAAAACGAACTTAAAAACTTAAATAAAATGTGCAGAATATAGATTTTTAAATTATCTATCCATTAGTGTAATCCTCAAATGATTAGAGCGTTGCGTTTAGCAATAGATGCATGTAATCAAGAATTTTAGTCATTTTTTAAAAGTTGATTTTAAATGTATTTATAGCACATAAAAACAAATTAGAACGTGGAATGTGATGATAAGATATAGAACATTAATAATGTGCTTTTAGATGTAGTTTATTTTTCATAATGAGATAATAGAGTCTGAAAAACGCACTTTCGCGACATTTTGGTCAGGGATACACCTTAAGCAGTGGACTTGTGATGGACTGTAATGAAT